GGCGGGAGGGCAGGGAAGCTGCCGCCCAGGCCTCTTCGGCGCCCGGGGCCAGCAACCGTCGGGAGACATCAAGCAGCAGCGGGCGGCGAGAAGCCAGCGGAGAGCCCGCGTCTGTGCAGGGGCCGGCACTGCCGGGGCTGCCCCAGCCTCCTGGGCCCACTGAGTCTGGGCTGCCCCCCACGACACCGCGGAGGACACCAACACGGCGGGGTGGCGCGCCGCCTGCCCGACTGCCGGCCGCCCGCCACGTCTCACCGGAGGGTACCTGGGAGGGACAAGAGCTCGTGGACACGGCGCAAGGCCCGAATCACCAGTGCGGTCACCGGGCAGGCCAAGCAACGGGGTCGGCAGCACAGGAAGCGGGGTGGGGGCACTCCTGGGCGTGGGCCAGAGCTGGGGACCCCGCACCCTGTGCCGGAAGCGCAGTCTGTGCGGCAGGTGACTGCAGGCCGAGCACCGCAGACACGCGACTCAGCTGCGTGGGGGGGCAGGGGGCCACGCTCAGCACGGCACCCGCACCTGACATGGGCTCCGCCCGAGAGGTCCCCCCAGTGGCCAGTGTGGGCGGGAGAGGCGACCCAAAGGGCAGAGCCAGGACGGGGTGGGAGAGGTAATGAGCGCCGGGAGGGGCCTGTCGCCCACATTTATCCCGCCCAGCTCCACCCGCACCAAACAGCTTCGGAGGGTGGAGCCGACTCCCGCGAGTACCAGCCCCCAGCCCCCTTGGCGCAGGCCGGGCACAGGCCTTTCCGGGTGACTGGCAGCTGGGGTGACTTTCTTTTCCAACAGAGGAGTCTCATGCTAAAAAAAGCACAACTCCAAAGGCGAGCCTGCACGCCTGGGGTCACGGTCAGGAAGCCGACCGACGTGGGGAGCAGGCCCGGTGCCTGCAGCCGCCGCTCGCCACAGCCTGGGAGATGAGCAACGCCCCCACTGGACAGAGGCCTGGGGGGGGGCTTGAAGTTTCAGCGCCGGAACCGCGGCTCCGAGCACTGCGCTGGCGCTTTCCCAGACCACGCGGAGCCGAGCACGCTGTGCAGGGCCCGGGGCAGCAGCCCATGCGGCCAGCTCTCACCTGCGGAGGAAAGCACGCGTGCCGGGTTCCCGCCCACCCACTCTTCCCCATGTCAGGAGGTCTGCCTGGTCAGCCCGGGGCCATCACTCAAGAGCCCAGCTCGGGCAGTAAATCCCACAGTGAACACACCTAGCGGGTACCCCAAATGGGGAGGTGTCAGCTGAGAGAGCCTCAACAGCCCTGGCACAGACCAAGCAGCAGTCGGCAGAAAGAGGAAAGCTGTGGTGATGGTCACCGCTCAAGCGCTTTCCAGGGATCCTCACGTGCAGCTGAGGCCTTCAGGCACGTGCTCAGGGACATGAGGGTTCAGGTCTTTGCTTCTCGAGAAGGTCCTGAGCCAGGGAGTGATTGTCCGAGCACATCACCTATGTGCCCTGGGGCCCGGGAGGCAGAGGGCAGTGACCTGGGGGTCGGTGGGAGAGGCAGGAGATTCAGGGAGCTGTGGGTAACGGGCCTCGAACGACACACCAGGAGTGACCTGGGGCCCGGCTGACCAGCCGAGCAGGCTTCTGGGAGGGGCCAGGAGGCTTCCGAGGTGGGGGGACAGGAGCCAGCCACTGGACATGTGGTAATCAGAGCTCAAACCCAGGAAGAAGAAAGGGAATGCAGACGATGCCAAGAGGCATCTGAGATGAAGACTGGATGGCGCCAAGGACAGGCAACAGCGGACAGGCTGGACTCCACGAGAGCTGACACTTCTGCATCAGCAACCCCACCACACAGCAAAAGACCAGCCACAGAGTGGGAGCAAACACTCGCGCATCATGTGTCCGATGCGGGGTTCGTGTGCAGGACGCACAGAGAACGCCTAAAACCCAACCAGGAAAAACAGCCCATTCGAGACTGGACAAAGGACCCAAACAGACCTTTCTGGAAGCCAGACCACGAGCGAGCAGCACAGAGACGTCCGGCCTCGCGCGTCCAGCCACAGCGCGGTGCGGGCTCAGACCGGCGCGCCCGCGCCCGGGGAGC